GAATTTCAGTCGAATCCATTACATTCCCTTACGTGCTAATACTCTTGGGAAAGGTATTAATCCTGTATGGGTTAATAGCAGGACGGACTAGGTTCTTGGGCGGCAACTGGTCGAATACGACAACTCTGAATTCAAAACATGCGGCGGGTCGTTTAGAGAGCTTGTGTCTTCGACCTTGTATTGTGCTGGTGAAGTATTTGTGCTCTTCAAAGCACAAAGCCTACACAACCATAATCTAATCATCTGTCGGTTCCTCATACGTCGAAAAAATGAATGGAGATTCCATATAGATAGAGAGATAGATAGATAATATTAGTGGTAAATATACACATACATATGCAAAATATATAAATATATATACATCGGTGCATACACATACATGTATATTTTTTTAATAAAAAATACCAAGAGGATAGAATCCAGGTAGAACTCAATGTCCAGGACAGAAATAAGGATATAATAAAAAATAAAACTAATATTCCATGGTTCATATATATTAAATTCCATTGGAATCGTAAATACGTTCATACATTCATCAGATTTATTTGTCCATTTAATAAATTTTATATTTGGATTCCATTATATATGTTTATATGAAAGTTTATATATATAATATATATATATATATATATATATATATATATATATATATATAAATACAAAAAAAATGAATAATGATTTTTAAATTACGCTGCATTAATGTTAATATAAAGTCAACGTCGGACGTTGCGGTCTATTTTAGACCATCATCAGGACATATTCATTAAACATAATTAACATTAGAACATATAAAATAGACCGAAACGTCCGACGTTGACTTTATATTACCATTAATACAGCATAATTGCATATTAAGATTTTTGCTTGTTTTTTCTGTATATATTTTTCTTCATACTGTCGGATCTATATCCATATATTGCTTATATACATATATATATATAATCGACTCTCCCGTCGAGATTCTACGTATGAGGGTCAAGCAGATCAGTTTCCAGGAAACCGACAGCCCAACACCGGCACATGAGATTTGATTATAGTGCTGAAGGCTTCGTGCAAGACCATCCACACTCTTTGAAGGGACGAATACAGAGACACGGTGCACCGAATGCCACAAGGTTCCCAAACGACCCTCCGCAGGTTTTGAATTCAGAGTTGTCTTTCTCCTAAAACAGTTGCCATCCAAGGCTATAGAACCCAGTCTGTCTATATATATATATATATATATATATATATATATATATATATATATATATAAAAAAAGGCTCAAACACTAATATTCCATGATTATAATTTATTACATTGGAATCATAATCAAGATCCCATTCATCAGACCTACAAATTCGAAAAGAAATCGGAAAATATAACTCGGGTATAAAAAACAAAAATTTTTTAGTGAGAGGTATGGGATGGGAAAGAGAAACAATTATGTGAGAGGAAATGTCTGAAAAAAAAAAAAAAAACAGGAAGGCCCTAAAGGTGAAGGACAAACATTCAAATTTAACAGATATTCAAGTTTAAAGAGAGGAGTTAAATAACGGTTTAAAATGAGGAGATACAGATAAATATGAATTATTTTTGATGCATAAGTCACTACCGATTCGCTGATCTAAATTTAAAATTAAAAAACAGACACCGGAAACATGTGGATACATTTGTGCAAATAAAAAACGATATGATCTAAACTTAAAATCCAGCCAATTCATACTGCCGATGTATATGTGAAAATTTGCTTTGCATTACTAACCTTACGTATGCAAGAAAAGAGAAGATGAGATATTGGGCCGAACTGAAAAAAATAGCATTATAAGAGAACTGATGTATAAAAAAGAATAATAATTAGACAAAGCAAGTAATATATATATATATATATCGAAAAAAAAAATCGATTCTCCCGTCGGGTTCGACGTATGAGGGTCAAGAAGATCAGTTTCCAGGAAACTGACAGCCCGACACCGACACATGAGATTCGATTATAGTGGTGAAGGCTTCGTGCAAGACCATCCAAACTTTTTGAAGGGCCGAATATAGATATTTGCACTTATTTGCCACAAGGTCCCCAAACAACCCCTCAGGTTTTGAATTTTGAGTTGTCCTTCCCATAGGCTATAGAAACCAGTCTGTCCTGCTATTTTACCCATAGCTGGAGGGAGATGAAGAGGATTCACACCTTTCCCAAGGGTATTAGCACGTAAGTTTTATGTAATGGATTCAATCTTAATTCGAAAGAAATTAATTCCTCAATCAAAAGCCGATAAACCATTAATATTACCGTGCCTCCACATATGAATGCGCTTATAATATGTAATGGTTACCGGCACGGAAATTGGAATCACCGAGCCGAGTCAATGGAAAAAGCATGATCCAGACTGAGCTCTCTTTTATTGGGTGACAACTAGTCTAGGAGAAGGAAATGTCTGAATTGAACTAACTGGAAAGTTCGTGGCAAACTACACATCATTCCTCTCTTATCAGTCCTTTCGAAAATCATGACTGGTTATTCATATACATTCACCTATAAAATCACAAGTCAATGGCGTGTGAAATCTGGAAGATTAGTTCTTTAATCTAGATGATCAGAGCCTGGCAGCTGATCTATCTTCTGGCTTTGCTTACACAACTCTGGAATTGGCTTGTAGCATTCAGTACCTCCCCAAAGCAAACTGGTAAGTTTTTTGGGGTTTTCTTTTTCCATTTAGAGTGTATGGTTATACTCTAAATGACGTTCTTAGCCTGTCCATTGAAACAAAAAATTCACCCCGGTAATATCTTCCTGTGTCGATTGCTTCTCAAAGGACCACCGAAGTTGTCATGGCAATCTTCAGGTATTAATTAATTTCCATCAGAAGTTTGCCAAAACGGAATGAAAATCCGTGTTGTGGCAAAGGCGAATAGCACTACAAGTTATTTGATTATTTAATAATAACAATAAGAAGAAGAGGAAGAAGAAGAACAAGAACAAGAGCAAGAAGAAGAAGAACAACAACAGCAACAACAACAACAATCATAGCTAATCGCTCTGACATCAGGATTAGAGACCGCAAAGACAAAATGTGCCTCCTTATTGACATGGCAGTCGCTGCAGACTGCAATGTAGCTTTGAAGATCTTCAAAAACCTATCAAAATACAAGGACCTTGAAATCGAAATCTCAAAAATGTGGCACATGAAGACACTAACAATTCCAGTTGTATTTGGAGCTCTCAGATTAATTGCAAAATATTCCAATAGACACATTAAAGGAATCCCTGGTAGTCCATGCCTTAAAGAAATACAAAAAATTGTTCACATGTGTACAGCCCACACCTTACGAAGGGCTTTATCTAAATTTTTTTTCTTATTTTTCAAATATTTTTCAAAATTGCTAAACTTAGGTTTCTGATCGGGACCCGGAAAGAAACAAGTATGAATACAAGGAAATAAAATAATAACAATAAATATGCAGATATGGATACGTACTCTTTAAATGCAAAACAGAATTACGGCCATATCACTTCCCGTCCCATTTATTTGTCCGGTTTTCTTCAGGTAGTCGGAATGTCGAACTGAACCTTTTTATTTCGCTCACTGGAGGAGACTGTTCTAGTTCGACATTCCAACCACCTGAAGAAGGCCGGAGCATACAACGGCCGAAACGTTGGGATAAATATGGCGACAAAGATGAAGACAATAGTCCGAATAATGTAAATAATGTACCTAATATTTATCTTAGGAATATAGACAGATACTGAAAGGCCGAAAGTTTGTAATAAATATGGCGACAAAGATGAGGACAATAGTCCGAATAATGTCAATAATGTACATAATACCTCATCTCAGAAATATAGACAAATATAATAATATATAATAATATATAATATAATATATAATAATAAAAATATATAATATATATATATATATATATATATATATATATATATATATATATATATATATATAATATATCTATAGATATAATATATCTAATATTATATAATATATATATATATATATATATATATATATATCTTATATATATTTAATATATTAATATCTTTTATTATTATATCTATTTATCAATGTGTATTTATTCATTTTTATTTATATATTTCCTGTGTTTTTTATTTATATATTTCCTGTCTCGTTTGTAGTGGGAAAAGAGAGATAAATCAACTTAAGTTAGTAAATATATTTGTGATTAATTACCTTCGTTTCATATTCTATACAAATAGAATATTTATCCGAATTTAAACAAAATAAGTTCCGGGGCAAAATGAGCCGTTTAAATAATCAGTTTCTTTACTCCAACATTTTTTTTAGATTCCAGTCTTATTGGTCCAAGCCATTCATGTGAAGCACTCAGATATTTGTTTGTCTATAAGGTTATCGTCTTGCTTCAACTTGGTCTTAAAACAGACACTGTCGTCGCCATCTTTGTCGTTCTGTTACTAAGTCTTTTTTTTTCTTCCATGCATATTTCCATTTCACTGTTATATCTTTAGCATTAAACGATATTGAGTAAAAAGCGAATTCTATGATACCAGGAGTAATCAATGAATCATAGATGCCATTGAATGTCTAAGATATATAAGGGGAAACGATTAATTAAACGGTTCATTAACTCATATTTTAATTGTGAATTCTTTACCTCCGCTTTATTGACTCTTACATTGTTCAAGCTTTAGTCCCCTTGAAAAGACTTCGCCCTTCAAAACACAAAAACTTATCCCACCTTCATTTCTATTTTTAGAGAGATCTCTGTCGAAATCGCCATCAACGGCTTTGGCACATTTTTCGATCATATCTCTGTGGATAGAATCAAGGAGAAGCGGAAGCCTGGTGTATGGGGGCAGATCTGGGCTACAGGAAGCTGTAAGCCATGTTGGAAGCAATGTTTTGCCTAATAAACCTTCCATGAGCATTTTCTAGAAGTATGAAATCACATATTACATTTCACTAAAGGCATCTCAGTACATAATAATTCCACGTATATATCTATGTCAAGTTTCTCAGTGGAATATCTCCTTACGATAGATGAATGAGATAGATAGAACAGAATAAACAGATAGATTCCAGATAGATGATAGATATGAAGTAACAGATAGATAGATAGATAGATAGATATGATAACATGATAGATAGATAGATAGATAGATAGATTAACAGATAGATAGATAGATAGATAATATTGTAACAGATAACATAGATAGATAGATAGATATGAAGTAACAGATAGATAGATAGATAGATAGATATAAGTAACAGATAGATAGATAGATAGATATAGATAGATAGATAGATAGATAGATAGATAAATAGATGATAGATAGATAGATAGATAGATAGATAGATAGATAGATAGATAGATAGATATGAAGTAACAGACAGATAGATAGATAGATAGATAGATAGATATGAAGTAACAGATAGATAGATAGATATGAAGTAACAGATAGATAGATAGATAGATAGATAGATATGAAGTAACAAACAGATAGATAGATAGATAGATAGATATGAAGTAACAGACAGATAGATAGATAGATAGATAGATAGATATGAAGTAACAGACAGATAGATAGATAGATAGATAGAAGATAAAATAACAGATAGATAGATAGATAGAAGTAACAGATAGATAGATAGATAGATAGATAGATAGATTATGTGAGTAACAGACAGATAGATATAGAAATATAGATAGATAGATAGATAGATATGAAAAAAGAGAGATAGATAGATATATATTATGAAGTAACAGATAGATAGATTTTTATGAAGTAACATGAGATATGATTTTATTGGATAGATAGATAGATATGATAACAATAGATAGATATATAACAGATAGATATAGATAGATAGATAGATATGAAATAGATAGATAGATAGATATGAAGAAACAGATAGATAGATAGATATGAAGTAATAGATATAGATTAAAAGACTGATGAATATGATCATATATATATATATATACATATATATATAGAGAGAGAGAGAGAGATTAGAGCAAAGAAAGATAGATAATGATAGAAAGAGAAAATCATGAATAGATAGATAAACAGATAAACATAGATAGATAGACAGATGATCGCTCCGAAAGTATTGCCTCCACATTATCTAGCTAGAAAGAAAACTGGATAAGTCCATATATATTTATATACATATAGAGAGAGATTATAGCAATAATCATAGATAGATAGATAGATAGATAGATAGATAGATAGAAAGCAGAACAAATAGAAATTCATCGATAGATAGATAGATAGATACATACATACATACATACATATATAAAGAAAGATGAAGTAATATAGATAGATAGATACATACATACATACATACATACATACATACATACATATATAAAGAAAGATGAAGTAATATAGATAGATAGATAGATAGATACATACATACATACATACATATATAAAGAAAGATGAAGTAATATATATAGATAGATAGATAGATACATACATACATACATACATACATATATAAAGAAAGATGAAGTAAGATAGATAGATAGATACATACATACATACATACATACATACATAATGAAAGATGAAGTAAGATAGAGAGATAGATAATGAACAAAGATAGATAGATAGATAGATAGATAATGAACAAAGATAGATAGATAGATAGATAGCAGAACAAAGAGAAATTCATAGATAGATAGATAAATAGATAGATAGCAGAACAAAGAGAAATTCATAGATAGATAGATAGATAGATAGATAGATAGCAGAACAAAGAGAAATTCATAGATAGATAGATAGATAGATAGCAGAACAAAGAGAAATTCATAGATAGATAGATAGATAGATAGATAGATATTCGGATTTATCCACGTTTGTGCATTCCTGTATATTTTATTTTTCAAGATATTAATTTTATAATTAATATTCAAGAACAATACTTTCAAATTTAAACAAAATTTTTCACCAATATTCTTGCCTTTTGCAACAACTCCCAGCCATAAATGTAATTGTTTTGTTAAAATTAGCTTTTTGGTCTGTACAAAACAGTACACGTCTATAAAAGTAAAAATATAAAAATGTCGATATTCCTCGTGGCGTAAGCTTAAAGAATTATTACCAAAAATGGCGACTTCTCAGAATTGTTCTTTTTTATCATCATCATCGTCTTCATCATCATCATCATTATTATTAGTAGTAGTAGTAGTAGTAGTAGTATCTTTAATCTTCTCTTCTAGTACGTTCACTTGCTTGTCATACTCTTCGATCGGAAAACGGCATAAAAGCAGGTCTGTTAAGCCAGTCAGGGTTATTTAACGAGACAGTTTCCGCTCAGCACAAGTGCTGAGACGTCGCACGATATCAGCATGCGAACACGGATTTCCGGCTGACGACCGGAAGCGGAAATATCTCACGGTCGCGAACGGTAGTGAACTCTGTACTTGACCGTCGTTAGATCAGGTGAAAACTTTTGTTAGCCTCCGACAAGCGATACCACGCGTCCAGAGGCGCGTTAATTGGCCGTCATTTAAACTTTTGATGGACTTAAATTTACTGGCTCTCTGTTTCGAAGAGACGTGCTTGGCTCTGATTTTTATTTTAAGAAAATGAAATGAAAAAGACTTTTGCTTCCCGGGCTTACAAACGAAATATCCTTCGATGCTGAAATCGCCATTTGCTGCATCCAAACTGTAGTTAATCGAGAATTATCTGAAATAAAATAGACTTAATAAAACTTGATTATCAAATTAGGCTTCATTTTTTTTTTTAATTTATTTAAACAACTAAAATTATATGAAATTAAATTAATTTTCTCTTTGACTATTTAATGGGGAAAATCAAGATTCATTTACGAAACCAGTTTCTTCAAAAATCTATATTGTTTAACCCGAAGCAGTGAGCAGTCAATCATTTGCAGCAATTTCAAGATTTTCAAAAAGTTTGAAATTATTTCTTAAATTATTGATTTTTATTTTTCACTTTTTGATTATTGTTTTGAAAAGTTTAATTCAAGTATTTAAAAAAATATGTAAAATATTTAAAAGATAAAAATATCAAACTATTTAGAAATATTTTTTCTAGTTTACAAATTTCATATCATTCAAGTTTTGTTAATTATTTTTACTGTTTGAATGTTTTATTGATTTTTATATCATTTTTTTAAAGCTCTGTTAGTGATTTCATTCTTAAATGTTTTACTTTTCTAATTTAAAATCAAATTAAATGTATTTAATATATATATATATATATATATATATATATATATATATATATATATATTATCAAATATGTAATGCAGTTCAAATTATCTTACAATGAATCATTCATACAAAAAGTAGATTTGTAAAGTTATTGATCTAAAATGGCGAAATCCCTTCGCAAACAAAATTTTAAAGGTGCATTAACCTACAAATCACTCGATGAATGATCCTTGTTTTAAAAAAAATTATAAGCTGTATCAGGTTTTTCGCAAGTACTTTCAACTGTACATTCAGTCATCTTCAAGCATGGAAATTATTTTGTTTTTGGTAAAATTCAGGTAGCATCCGAGATGAAAAAATTAAATGCGAATCGAAATACTTTTTTTTTTTTTTAAATGTGTTATTGTTAACTGATACAAACTTTTCGAGCGTGCAGTTGGAACGCTAAGGTCGATTTTTTTTTTAATGTAAGAGAGTGCGTTTTTTTTTACTAATATGGCAATTTGAGAATTTTTTTTTTGTTGTAAGAGTTTATCAGTCAATGTGGCATGAACTAAATTGTTCAATAAATAGAGGAATGTCTCAGCTGTTATCCCGAAAACTTGCACGTCGGTTCACTTCTTTTAAATCAAATATTTGTTGAAGATGACTGAATGTACAGTTGAAAGTACTTGCGTATTAAAGAAAGACCATATACAGCTTATAATTTTAAAAAGCAAGGATCATAACATTCATCGAGTCATTTGTAGGTTAATGGATATTTAAAAAAATTTTTCCGAAGGGATTTCGTTATTTTATATATTTTTTTACTTTTTTTACTAATCTACTTTTTGTATGAATGATTCATGGTAATATATATATATATATATATATATATATATATATATATATATATATAATTGTATTTGAATTTGTTTGGTTATTTTATATCAAATTTTATATTTATATTTACATCAGTGCGGATCGAACTCGCTATTCAGTCGAAAGTATCCACAGGACTAGCCACGGCAATCATTATATGACGCTCAAGTGACTCGTTAGATAATCAATTTAAATTTGTTAAAAAGCACAAACTTATTATAAGTGTTTTTTAAGGTTTCATTCTTATTTTGAATTACTCCATGCTGGAGAATCTCCTCACAGAAGAAGAGGAGACATGTAGAAACAGAAATGTGGTCTACAGAAGGATGCTGAGAATACCATAGACCGAACATGTCAGCAACGATGAAATTCTCGAAAAGTGGAAGGAAAATGGGCACTGATATTTAACATCAAGAAGAGACAGTTGAATTCTATGGGGCACATGTGGAAAGAGAGCTTGGAAAGTTTGATACTCACAGGACAGATTGAAGGTAAGAGGTCTAGAATAAATACAACGCAAGCGGGTAAGGTTTTCCGAGAGATGGCAAAAATTACAAAGTCATTAAGAGCTTGAAAGGAGAGGAAATTGTGGAGAGCCATATTCGCCAACGTCCTGAAGAGATACGGCACATAGAAGAAGAATTACAATGGTTTTAACCAATTTGTCTTTTTCCACAGTTGCCTGTTTAAGTTCAGTAGAATATCAGAAGCGATATTGAGAGGCAACTACTTAAAAATTCTTTATGTGTCAAAAGACAGTTGCTGTTACAGTGGCATAACTTATTCAAGTAAAGACACATATTAATATCCGTTTTATTCCCTCTCATGCCAAACACCAAATTCATCGATAGGGTGCAGTTTCTTCCTGTCAAACGCCTCTGGCTTAAAAATTACCATTCAGCCAGATCGTTACCCACGAGTGAAAAACAAGACAATTTCTAGCAGTAAACCACATTTTATTCTTATCTTGTAACCTACTGCTATAAGCGTGCGAAGGTGAGATGAGGCGTAGGTGAGTAGTGAGGTGTACAGTCTAGCGGCTGCCTTCCCCGTTCGTTCTCCCAGGCCCGCTTCGTCCCTCCTGTGTCACTTTTTGTCGGGATAGCCAGTTTTGTAGATAATTTTCTTTGGCTTGTCATCTTCGTCTAAAAAAGTAATTCATCTTCCTTCGGTGACTTTCTCTCAGTATAAGCCTCTTTCTCTGAACTTTTAATTTGATTCCACTTACTGATAACCATCCTCGACTGTAAATGTTTACGACAGATCACGCTGTTTTCAATTTAATAAGTCCGCAGCTGACTCATATTGCTATACATTTAACTGTCATGAAAAGATCCACGCATTTCATTTTTTATATTTTTTAAACACAATATCATAGATGCAAGCGGACACAAAATAAGTTTTAGATGTAAATAGGTTTCCTGCCATAAAACTTTAACTTATTTTACTCAGGTGAATTAATAAAATTATTCTTCGGCAATCATTGTAAATAGAAAGAAAGTCTTTTGAAATATTCAATGAAAGAAAATAATGTTCACAATTTTAGAGTTCACGGTAATGTAGCAAGTAAAGACACAAATTAATATTTGTTTCGTTGCCTCTCAGACCAGACATCAAATTCGTTGATAGGGTGCAGTTTCTTCCAGTCAAACGCCTCTGGTTTAAAAATTGTCATTCAACCAGATCGTTACCTACGAGTGAAAAATACAACAATTTCTAGCAGTAAACCAGATTTTATTCTTGGGTTGTAATCTACTGCTATAAAAGAGTGAAGATAAGATGAGGTGTAGGTGAGGAGTGATGTGTACAGTCGAGCGGCTGTCTTCCCTGTCCGTTCTCCCAGATCCGCTTCGTCTCTTCAGTCTCCCTTTTCGTGGAATGATCAATTTCGTAGATAACAATTTTCTTTGTCTTGTCATCTCTATCTATAAAAGGCAAGATCTGTGTGTGTGTGTGTGTGTGTGTGTGTAACGAATGCAAGGCCGCAATTTTCGACGGATTTGCACCAAAATTTACATGCACATGCTACAAGTTAGCGGGAAGACCAAGACCGACTTTGCATTTCCCAACTCCCATCGATAGTGGAAATAATCAATTTTTTCATGCTTCTACGGCAGTTTTCATGTAGTTTGCGGCCATTTTCTACTAGCCAGAGTGAGAGCCTATAGCTGGCTGCCACGAATAAGCAGGAATATTCTATTGGCCATCGTGAGAGCCAACAGCTGACTGACGCGAATGTTAACTAGCATGCAAAAAAAAATGCTACATTCGTCACAAGTGGGAAAAATTTTAATCTGCATGGCACTTTATTCCAACTGGCTCATTCGCTTGCTTAAATCCAACGTTGATTCTGATTCCGCAGAACTGGGTTGGGTGTGAAAAAGTATTTGTTGTTAACATTCTTTTTTCATTCGGTTTTTCCAGTTACGAGTCCTTGTTTAAAGCTGATCGTTTTGTGTTCATTTTGTTTAGTTCTTTTTTCGTAACAGATTTAATGTTTAGTATAGAGCTTAGAAAAAATTCGCAGTGTGAGATAGGCAAGAAGTAAGGCATGTAGCAACATCAGCACAGCAAAGGGAACTCCTTTAAACGCAAGGAAGGGCAAAAATATTTTAAGTCAAGTGATAGCGATTGCGGTATGAGTCGTATTATTTTTTAATCAAGCCCGGGCAACGCCGGGCGATGCTGTCTCTCGTCTAAAAAAGTAAGTCATCTTCAATGAAAGAAAATGTTGTTTGTTTCTTTTAGAGAACACGGAAATGTATCAATAGATGAAGATAGCGTTCGAGGTGGATTTAGTAAAAACTTGTAAGGACATTGAAT